GAGATTAAGAGCAGCCCCCTTTCACATGTCTGCTCGCACACATTTTGCGTGCTTCTTGCTCGACACTGTTTTTCAGCTCAAGGGAAGTATAACTTTATCCGGATACAGCAGGATGGGCTGAAAAGACAAACTCCTGTACTTTTGCAAAGAGTTATACTGCAGCAACACTTTGTACTTGTGTGATAGAATACAGAGAAGGGCAGAAAAAGAAAACCTCATAAAAAAGAAGACGTGTAAAACAGCTGATCATGATCCACCAAGTCTTGCCTTTTCACGAGGTCCTGAACCCAGCAGCCTCAGAATCATAATTTTGCTTCCAGGGCAAGTTCTGGCTTGATTTGATCTAGGATGCACTGGTTTGGTCTGGGGTATTCACAAAGCTCTGCTGTAGCACCATGGTTCGAACATATCCATTTAATTCTTACCCACTTTCTTTCCTGTCCTGCATTCGTGTCCATACATAATGAGCAGGAATAGAATAGCATCGGTGAACTTGACCTTGATCTCCAGTGAAAACAGTTACACAACGATCTTTTTAAGTCCTTTCCTTGCTGTTCTTCCTAACCTTGGTCTTCTAATTTCTTGGCCATAGTCTTCATCCCAATTGATGACTGAGACAGGATATACAAAATCTTTCACAATTTCATTATCTTGAGTGATGATATTAACATAGCAGAATACTTTCATAATCATATTTTTTTCTTAAAACGCAGCTGCAGTCCTGCTTTTGCACTTTCTTCTTTCACTTTCATCAGGGGTAATTTCAATTCATTGCTGCTGTCAGTAATATGGTTTCATCTGTATATCTTAAATAATTGATAGATCTTCCACCAATTTTCACTGCTTCCTCTGATCCTAATCCAGCTTTCCTTATGGTACCTTCTGGATACAGATTGAATTGTTAGGGTGATTAAATACACCTGCATTTGATGACTTTGCCAATAGGAAACCTTTCTGTTTCTCTATATTCTGTCGTAACAGTGGCTTCTTGTCCACAATACAGAATCATCAAATGCTGGGACACACCCAGCATTTCAGAATCATCCATAGGACAAGTCAAAGATGAAGGATATCCTTGCTATTCATTTCACACAGCAATGTGTGAAGGGGAACTCCTGAATGAGGCTAATCTCTAAGCCAGGTTGATCCCTCTGGATAAAAGAGCAGGTATGCTTCTTTGGAGGAAGTATGCAGGGTCATCAGCAATACTTCAGAGGCATCAGTATTGGTGGCTATTACTATGTCCTGTAACTGTGAAGAAATACTTCTTTTTGCCTTTCCTGAATCTCTCCCCATCCAGCTGTAGTGCAGGATCCTAGTTGCAGCATTAAGAAAGAAGAAAATATTTCTGTCCCCGTCATGCCTGATTTAGTACAACTCTGTCATGGCTTGTTACTGCTTTTTCTTATGTTAAAGAGCACACACTGGGGAGTTGCTCCGTTCTCTTGATCACAGAAATGATGCCCCTTAAAAGAAAACCGGCAGTCGTGCAGAAATCCAGAAAGAGTTGACACAGCACGATGACACGCTCGTTGCGCTATGAATCAGTGTGAAGCAGAACGGGAAGCATGGTTTCCGGCATCCCAAACAAAAATCTCTAGCTGCTTCACCACATATGTTACACAAATAGCACAAATATACTCCCGCAAAGGATAAAGGAAATGCAGTTTTGGCTTGGCCTTCTGTGTATACCATTTAAAGAAGCAAACGAGAGCTTCACTTGCTGGGCAGTATAGAAATGGAATGAATGAATGAATCAAATGACTTAATGGCAGATTAAACCACCAATTAAAATTAAGCTCATTTTGACTCACCTATACCATCTTCATTTCTATGTAGGACTAGCACTGGATAATGCCCATAGGTTAGTTTTGCAAATGAAAAGTGTGGCTGCTTCTGTGTTTGTGTAACTACTTTATAAGATGAGTAAGTCATCTGCATGTTTGCTCAGAACTGTGTCACAACAGGGTGAATAATACATTGGTCAAATGTTTATAGGACTGCAGACTGAACCGCAGATGTGTTTGCAGAATTATCTGTAAACAAGAAAAAGGGCTGGGATTATATAGATATAGCTATAAATAATATACATAATAAGTAGCTTAGCAATGGATAGGGAAAAGAAGCTGATGCAAAGGGAGTGATGGAAAGGAACAGAGAGATGTACTTAATTCTCCAGCACTTCTAGGAGACAGAATTTCTTATTCTTTCCATCGTGTCTGGAACACCAAGATACATGTTGCCAGATCTTCAGATTTTCTCATTTGCAACGCCCCTCTCTGTTCTGGCAAGGCATTTGCAAAACCTCTGTCACTTCTCCAGCTGAAGAACCAGGTAGCAGTATGGTAGGCCACATGTGTCACCGTTTTGCACACAGAAAGTCCCAGGTTCGTTTCCTGACATCTCTAGTGACAAGAATTCAAGAAGCAGAACTGTAAGTGAGAACATCAGCGAGCACCTGTCATCTCTTGGTCTGAGGAGACAACAGCAGCAAAACTAAGGCCAACGTATTCAGCAATGCCTCTTGTTCTCATCATCCCAATTCTGGCTGTGCCCCTTTACAGTGTCCCCACTGGATGAAGAGTTACATACCCAGCTGAAAGGAAGAAATAGACTGATGCAGCTGGAAGATGCACTATGAAGAAGCTCACTATCGAGCCTATGCTGTGGCGGTGAGGTTGGCAAAAAAGAAATTCTTCTCCGTTTCCATTGCCCCCTCACAATGCTGTCCGGCTGAGCTTTCTCAGGTGGTACAAGGGCTGGTCCATCCTAGTCCTAAGAAAGACCCTGCACCGCCCTCGAAGGCCCACTGTGACGACTTTGCCAAGCATTTTAAGGAGAAAATCAGTCAGATTCGTCATGAGCTGGACCCCACTAGTGACCCAGAGTCTTCTGGAGAGATACCAATGTCACCGTCTGGTCCAAAATTGATGGATGAGTTTCAGTTACTGCGGCCTGATGATGTGGACAAGGTGCTTGGACAAGTACATCCCACCACCTGCCTATTGAACCCTTGTCCTTCTTGGCTACTTAACAATGCCAAGCACGGGATAGGGATCTGGATCCTGGAGTTTGTCAACTCCTCTCTGAGGGATGGCGGGGTACCTGCCCCTTTAAAGGAGGCGGTAGTCCGACCAGTCCTAAAGAAGGCATCCCTGGATCCAGAGATGGCCACCAATTATAGACCAGTGGCCAACATCCCATTTTTGGGCAAGGTGTTGGAGTGGGTGGTGGCGGGACAATTCCAAGCGCTCTTGGATGAAACCGACTATCTGGACCCATTTCAGTCCGGCTTCAGACCCGGGTACGGTACTGAATCTGCCTTGGTCACTCTGTACGATGACCTGTGCAGGGAGAAGGACAGGGGGAGTGCATCCTTGTTGGTTCTCCTGGACCTCTCAGCGGCTTTCGATACCATCGACCATGGTATCCTTCTGGATAGGCTAGCAGGATTGGGGGTTGGAGGCACTGCTTTCCAGTGGTTCCGCTCCTATCTCAATGGCTGATTCCAGAAGGTGGTGCTGGGGGACTATGGCTCTGCGCCATGGCAGCTATGCCATGGAGTACCGCAGGGGTCCATTTTGTCCCCCTTGCTATTTAACATCTACATGAAACCTCTGGGAGAGGTCATTAGGAGGTGTGGGCTGTGGAATCATCAGTACGCTGATGATACCCCGCTCTACCTCTCATTTTCAACCAATCCAGGTGAGGCAGTGGCTGTACTGAACCGGTGCCTGGCCAAGGTAATGGGCTGGATGAGGGCCAATAAACTGAAGCTCAATCCAGACAAGACACAGGTCCTGTTGGTAGGCGGGTCAGGCTTCGGGGATGGGGACCTTGACCTTGTCCTGAATGGGGTTGCACTCCCTTTTAGGGACAAGGTCCGCAGCCTGGGAGTGCTCCTCTATCCAGAGCTTTTGCTTAAAGCTCAGGTAACAGCGGTGGCGAGGAGTGCTTTCTTTCAGCTTCGGCTGATTCACCAGCTGCGTCCCTATCTGGAGAATGACTGCCTGGCGACAGGGACAGACGCATTGGTAACTTCCCGACTAGACTTCTGTAACACGCTCTACATGGGGCTGCCCTTGAAGACGGTCCGGATACTTCAGTTGGTACAAAATAGAGCTGCCAGGCCGCTGATGGGGACTGGGCGTTGTGCTCACATGACTCCAGTTCTCCGTCAGCTTCACTGGCTACCCATTGAAGTTCGGGCCCAATTCAAGGTGTTGGTTATCACCTATAAAGCCCTTAACAGCTTGGGATCTGGTTACCTAAAGGAGCGCTTACGTCCATATATGCCCTCCCGCCCCTTGAGATCGGCGGCAGAGGCCTTTCTCCGGGAGCCCTCTGTGAAGGACATTAGGAGGGTGAGTACCCGGAGGAGGGCTTTCTCTGCGGTGGCGCCCCACCTATGGAATGCGCTCCCCAGAGAGGTCTGCCTGGCGCCGTCGTTATTTGCCAGGCCAAGACCTTTTTATTTAAACGTCATTTTAATTGTTGATATTATTTATTGATTTTAATAACTTTGGCCAGGATGTCTCCAATTTTATATTTAATTGTATTGGCGATTTTATTTATGTTTGTAAGCCTCCCCGAGGCTTCGGCGAATGGAGCGGCATATAAGTTTGCTAAATAAATAAATAAGATGGGTGTCTACAATGCAACATTTTCATTGGCACACCTCCTTTGCTGGTGGTATTTATTTAATGTGCGATCCTAAGAATAGTTAGACAGAAAAAAGGGCTATAATCACAGTCCCCCTATTCCAGCACAACACATCTAATTAAAATTAGCAGAAAAAATATTGATTAGGGGTCAAGTCATATTCATTCCCCACAAACAAATGCCCAAGCACATGGACAGGTTTTATGTCTATAAGACTGACTTCAGGCATACCTCTTCATGGAAGAACTTCTTCACAAAGAAGACCCTTTGTAAAAGCGGAACTTTGGACAACTATTTTAGGGCTATTGTCAATCCCTTCCCTGTGTTGGGGTCTGGGCTAGGTAACAAGCAAATGTCCTTTCCCCCTCTAAAATCTCATAACTATCTTCCGAAAATGTGCAGTAGAAAAGTTGGACCTTGAGGTCACCAATGTCAAACTGGAGTGTTGACCTACATTATTCAGTGTAACAATGAAGACTTGCACTGGGGGAATCTTTGTCTTCCTTTCTTCCAATTATTACAAGTACATTTTGGGCTGAGGTTATTTTTGACAATGCTCTTGTTTAGAGGACATCAGCAAGGATTTTTTTTGGGGGGGAGTGATAAAAGTGAGGAACAGAAGTCAGCAGAGAAACTTAAAAACAAGGGAATGTGGGTGATGTTGGAAAAGCCCAGGATGAGAGAGCTCTCCGAAGATTCTGGGGACATCCCACTTCACGTGGGTTGTCGAAGAACTGACTTTACCAAAATGCTCTGCGCTGGTTTCTTTTTCCCTCAGGAGAAAAAGGGGAAATTGCAAGCTAGTCACTCTACATCATTATTAAGCCCTTCCCCGAAACTAGCAAGAAGATCACCAAACAGAAGGTAATAGTGTTTCTACTGTATGGCTGACATTTTCACTGCAATGTGGGACATTCTGGATTTTCTGAAAATGAAACTTGTCCTGGGCTTAAAAGGTTCTCAGGGATGGAGTGCTGGACCAGACATTGCCTCTTCAGACAGACAGGCGGATACCCCACTAATCCAAGAACCTCCAAATGCATCTGCGTGGTAAGAAAGATTTGATACCTTGATACCTTCTAGGGTTCTTCACTATGACCATCAAGTGTCCTGCATGGCCCTGAAGGGAGCCCAGGGCCATGTTTCTCGGGGTACCGTGGATTACAAGCCAGGGACAATATGTGGCTCAGCAAAACAAAGGATACCATGACGGCCAGCTGTACCATTACTTAGAACACTTGAGGTGACAGGTATTATGAGACCATTGGAAGACATTCCTCAGCATGGCCTGAAAGCAACTGCTGACACGACTTTCACAAAGCTAAGCATGCTTTTGGCTTGGTCTCTGCCTGGATCAGTAGTGCTGATCAGTAGGTACTTTATTCTCCTAGTGGGAGGGGGACTCTTCAGGTGGTGATGTGCTGTTACTGCGCCTACCTCAGAAAGTGGCCAGGTGGACCTGTTGCATTTGGGCCTAGAGATCTTCTGCTCAGCGAAGCCCTGGATGTCTGCCCTAAACTCCTGCTCTGATGGCACCACTGGCCTGGATGGCAAACTTTCTTTTTGCTAAATGGACCTTTCAAGCTTCAGCTTCAGGTGGTCCCTGTTATGTTCTCCTGCATTTAAAATTTTCAACCTATCTAGCAAGGGCACTTCAGAGATGGAGGAAAGGAGGCTGAAGGAGGACGAGGATATCTCATATCCTGGCCTCTCCAATCTCCTCCTCTTCCTGCTCAAAGCAACACCACCTTTTCCTTTTCTTCCAAGGTTGCTTTGCCACCTCTCCATGCCAGCTGTGAAGGTGTCAGGTCTGGGTTCAGATTTCTGAGCCCCTTCTGAGGCCAGAGTGCTGTCAGAATTTCCAAGCAATTCTACAGTCACTGGAATGCTGTCATGGGGACCAGAGGATTGCTTTCTTTATCAATATTTAGGCTGTTGTTGCATCTTAAATATCCTGAGTTATATCTGAAAACAGTTGTTGATTTGCTGCACTATAGGCTTCCCTAGGAATGGGCATATCTGTTAGCTTCATTTTCTTCCACAAGTGAATTCTTAAAATTTCAAGTTCTTTCTCTCTAGAATTTGTGGATTTTGGCAAATTCTCATCAGAAATGAAGAGAAACTAAATTCATGCCCAGATGACCCTGCCAGATTCAATAAGTACATGATTTCCAACATGAAAAGGGGCATGATTTGCCTGACTACCATATAGCTATTACAGATGAGAAAGTAGCTTGTCTGAAAGGAGAAATGGCAACATTAATTCAGTATCAACATGGCTGAATATCCAGGGATTTGGACCTGACCAATTACACATGATTTTATTTAGCAATACACTTAAATTCCAAAGCCCCACAGAAAATACTTCAGGTGAAATTTGGTGAAATTCCCCTCACATGGGTTCCCCTACTGCAGATGATATTATCTTGTGACAATTTACAGACCAAATCTGGGATAATTTGTGTATCTGCTGAGGTGATGTGGTAGGAATTCTAGAAACCAAATTTGCCCACTTTCTGTCACATTGGTGCAATTAATGTAATTTTAGTCTCTGGACCTCCAGGTATAATAAGAATTACGCACTTTTATTATTTATTCAAAGGATTTGTTACATCATCTTTCATTATCCAATCCCAGGATGGTGTGGAAAATTCTACTAAGCAGCATCTTTAGATGGGAGAGTCTACTCATTATTTATTGCAATATGCTTTAAGCCAGGCTTAACTTGCTTGAGTCTGCTTTTTCTGCCAAGTCGGGCTCTGGCCATTTGGCCCCAAGTCCTACCCTGGCGGCACCTCTGATTTCGAAAGGTACACATTCCATTCAGTCCAAGCTCTGGATACTTGTCTCAGATCGTCAGATAATCTAGCATTCAATTTACTCCCTTTCCCATCAACCTTTCCTTTCTCCTCATGACTGTCTGGGTCTCCTTCCAGGTACAAGCCTCCTTCTCCACATTGTACTCAGTTCTTACTTCCATGCTGCCTTCTCTGTGCGGCTCCAGGAAGAGAAGGGGTTCGGGTATGAGGCAACCCTGGCACGTCAGAAGAAGTTGCAAAAAGAATTTGGCAGCAGCTTAAAACTCTCACGGCACCTTCTCCAGAACACAAAGACCCTTACGCATCTCTACGTAAGTCTGCTTTTGCTTCTATACTCCCCTTTATGCATATGTAACCATCTTTTGGACAGGAATTGGCCAAGTTCTCAAAAGAAAAAAAAAGTCTAATGGTGCAATCTCATGCATGTCCACTCAGAAATGAACCCACTGAATTCATTGCAATTTACTTCCAGACAAAAGGGCACAGGAGAGTCTTAAGTAAGGGACAGCTTTGATGAGTTCATCATCTCTTTTTCCTTCAGTCAATTAACCAATGCAGCAAGCAACTGAAAGAAATATTGCTGTATTTCAGCACAGATGAACATCTTCCAAGTTTTGTCACATAAATAGTAAAGAAAAATATTTGATCTGGATTTAGAAAATACTGTGATAATAATGTTTTTATTTACTGGGTGGCAGGGGGTGGGGGTGGGGGGCTCAACCTGCAATTTCAGTGGACATTCAGTATAAAGTTAGCAACTTAGGACATCTCCACGATTAATGTGTGCTAATAATTCCCCGTTCGTTGTAGTTTGTGGCTGCTTTGCACAATGTTCTCCTCCTCCAGGACCTCTCCCATGCTTTCCAAGCATTTCTGTGCCTTTTTTAAGATCAAGGGAAGGGGGCTATTGGGCCTCTTCAGTGTGAGGCTTTTAATCTATAACTTTACTGAGGCTTCTGCTTCCAGATTCTTTGTGGAATGAAAAACAACTGCTTTACACATGTTTCCTCCTGCCTTTGGGTTTTTTCTCTGCTTTTCTATATGTTCCATTGCACAACCACTGGGTGGCACTATAATAAAGTGGAATTGCATAAGAGAATGCTGCCAATCACAAATAGTACCAGGTTTTTCTTTATGTAAAAAAAGCTGCAGACTGAGCAAAGAATCGTGAGTGCACAACAAGTGTCATGTGTAGAGAAGCTCACTATCTCAACATCACAGTAAAACACTTGTACGATGCCACAGTAGCACCTTATAATTGCATAATGGAACATATAGAAAGGCTGAGAAAGAAAACCCCAGGGAAAGAAACATGCTGATTTTTTTAAGAACAAAGAAGGCAATCTTTTTCTCACAAACAATTAGGAAGCAAAAGTCACAGTAAAGTTGCAGATTTAAGCTCATGCAGTAGGGTTCTTAGTACATTCATTTCTTCTATGGGTAGTTCAGTATAAAATCTATAATAGAATCTTTTATATCATAACTGAATTATGTGAGAAAGCTAGTACAGGATGTTCATTAAAGAACCTCAGCTGGCCATGCCCTTTCTCCTGCCCCATCCTCTTTCCCCCATCACTGATCATTTGGTGGTTTCCTGGCTTTTGTGTGGCTTTTTCCCTGTTGTGAAAGACTGAAATAACTCTTAGTCTTAGTTACTGACGGTAAACAATTTGCCCCCATCTCTTTTGCCTTTGGATCCTCCTACCTCTCCCCAAGGAGCTTCTCTAAGGTGGAATTCTCTAAGGGGGTCTAAAGCCCTGGGTTAGTGTGCCCAGCTAGGTCTGAGAGGACTCAGCTTCAAATCTCGAAAAAGCTTTTGGCAGTCTCAGCTCTGTTGTGCAGATATAACTTCTGGAAGGCTCTCCCCAAGGAGAGTCGCCTGGTGCCTTCTTTATACTCTTTTTTGGCACCAGGTGAAGAGCTACCCTTAAAAAAGTATGTTAATATTTGATGCCACCAAACCTTCTTTTGTATTTTAATTCATATTGTTTTATGGATTTAGGTAGTGATATTTTCAGCTGCATCATTGGTCTTACGATGGTTTTGATTTCTGATTGGGAGCCGCCTAGGCGTGCTGTGCCACAGTGGGTAGCATACAAATGTTTTAAATAAATAAATCAATATAAATTCACCAGGAGAGAAACACGTACACCACCATTAGCTACTTCAAGGAAAAAAATGATAAAAGTGAAATAAATACATCCATAGAATCCTAGAATAGTAGAGTCGGAAGGAGCCAAAAAGGCCATCGGGTCCAACCCTGCCTGTTGCAGATCATCAATTTACATCATCCACCATCTAAAGAATTTGCTTCTGTTCCTTCCCTTCAGGGAAACTGTATTTACTAAGAGTGGTCAGTTGAAAAGTCAGGAACCTTACTTAGAAGACGGTTTCTTCCTTCTCTTTCCAGCACTCTCACTATCTGCCTGGAGTTCGGTTTGATCTTCTGCCACACTCAGAACAGCTTCCCTCCGTCAGTCTGGATCTCCGCACATGGCTTTCTCTTCCAGTAAGGATATTTATTTTTCTGAGATGCCTATATCCCAATGTTCATTAAAATACCCTTGTTGTTAAAACAGTAAACGAATGAAATTTTTATTTTTATTTATTTATATATATATATATATATATTCCATCCTCAATCAATTCAGGAGGCGGTAAAAGTCACTGTTAAAAAAAATCCTGAATAATCTGTCATCCTATAGACCCTTGAGAGTGTCTGGGGAGTGTCAGTCAGTGTCAGGCAATAATCTGGACTCCCAGATCCAAGGCCAGAGGCGGTACTCCAAGCACAGAGCTAAAAATCAAAGTGTTCACACACTTGGGGCCAAGGTGGAAAGAAACGCACCAGCTGCGTCCTGATGTCAGCTTCAGAGTGGAGTAAGAGGGCACATTTTGGTGAGCAGGGTGGGGAGGGATGGAGACTGAACAGGCCAAGAGAGGACCTACCCTCCAGCCTTCTTCCCTCTGCCTCTGAAATGCTTCAGCTGGTTGACCAAAAAAGCCCGTCTAGCAAGCTATGCATGGTGGGATCACTTCTCCTGCTCTGCATAGGATGACCATAAGTCCCTGAGTCCTTGGTCTTACGGGCATCTGGGATTGTGCCCTCTACAGCACTGAAAGATCCAGAAAACAAATACCTGGTGCCTAAATTTGTCAGATTTGGCACCAGGCAAGCTGATAGGGAGATGGCACTCTATAATTGAGGTGCCACCACTGAAAAGGCCCTCTTCCCCTAGCAAGCATCAAGGCCAGCTCTGAAGGTAAGGCCAAGCAGAGTGAAGCTTCTACCACTGGCCTTCCTAACCAAGAAGGCAAACATATAAGCTGGCCCTCAGCAATGAGAGGAGTCATTGCTCCTTGGCAAAGCACAAGCTTCGCACTCAGAAGGCCCCAGTTTTTGTCCTCAGAATTTATTTATTTCATTTTTATGCCACCCTTCTTGGAAGGACCAAGTCCGACTCAGAATGAAGTTTGGTCTTTGTTTAGCTTGTGGTGGGAGAAGAAGCAGGGAAAAAAGGGAGATGTGGATATTGTCAATGAGTTTTCCTAACATTTCCGTTTTTCAGGATGCCGCACGCCTGTCCAGGATTTCCAAAATGCTGCCATTCTATCAAGCGTTGGTCCAACAGCTGAGTGACCATGAAGCAATCAAAAAATCCTCCATATTCGTTTCTCAGTTTGATGATCTCAGTTTAAACCTCCGAGACTTGATTCATCATGTGAATTACCAGGTGAGCCTACCTGCCGTTTGGGGCACAGAAGGGACAGGGAGTGCTTCCCTTTTGCAGGGAATTACCTGTCTTTTATTCTCCCCATAGATCTCCCTTATGGACCTGCCTGCTGAATACCAGTCCAAAGCAACAATCAGTCCCGCTCAGATCCATTGGTACCACAGTCAGTGGAAGAACCATCAGAAAATATATGTCATCTTACGCTCACTGGAGAACTTTCTGTGCCGTGTCACACGGGATTTTTTGATGCTCAAGATTAGGGTGGCTAAAGGAACGTCTTTCCCCCAGGATACCAGGACTTCCACATCTCAGCCACTCTGACCCCTCCTTCCAGCCAGCTAGAAAGTGCTGACATCTGGCATCCAGATGTCTGCATTCTCCTAATAATTTATTGACATAACCTATTGTTTATCTAAAATTATCTAATTTATACATATTTATTTTTTCTACAAATTATTTTTACTTATTTTAACAGTTTTTTAACAGTAGTATTTTAACTTATTTTATCAATAAAGTACATTGGAAAAAACAATGCTCTAATGGCCATGTGTACAGAAATGTTTGTTTCTTTCTGACAAGTGTACTTTACACATGCAAGTGGTGAACAGATGGTAAAGAATGAATGAGAAAGCAAAGCTAAACACGTAAATGAGTCAACCGGCTTTCTGCAAATCTGGTATATATGCTTCATGCTCATCAGGCATGTTGGTCTAAGGGCATGATTCTCTTGGAAGATTTAACAGGTCCTGGATTCAGATGGGTTCCGATCCCTGGATTGTCCCCAGTATGAAACTCTGAACAGCCACCATCACAGTGTCTACCATACTGAGCTAGATCAGGGGGCTTCAAGCATTTTGTTTCAATAGGTACTTTTGGAATCTCGTAGGTATAGCTGTGTATTGTAGGTGCTCTCGTAAAATGGCTGCCACAGGAATTGGCCATTTATGCAGCAAGTAACTGGACAACCATCTGAGAGGGATGGTTGAACTTGCATTCCTGCACTGAGCAGGAGATTGGACCTGATGGCCTTCTGGACCCTCCCAGCTCTACTGTTCTATGACTGTATGTTCCTGAAGCTGCTTTTGAGAATTATAAAGGATATAAGATAAGGGTGTTGAACCTCAGTCCTGCTGATCAAAACCTGTCTGCCTGAGTTCCTGGTCTGGCCTTCTGGAGAACACCACGTCTATTTCCCCTGGCCATGTCCTTTTCTCTGTCCCTTTTCCCATGGCTGCTCATTGTTTGGTGGCTCCCTAGTTTTGCAGTGGGGTTCTCCCCACTCATTCTAAGTACTTCTTTACATCAGGGTTTTATCCCACCCAGTTGTCTTCTGAATCAAACACAGGATTCTCAAGATATGCCCTCCCATTTCATGTGTGGCTACAGTTCATCAAATGCATTGCCATTTGGCAACGGAAGCACATGACTTTATGCCAGAAGGAGAATCACAGTTCACCCGTTGCAATACCCACTGTCTTTGCCTCCCTCCTGTGTGAAGAACCCAGCAGCCACGGCTGAGCTGAGGATGGCTGCTTTTGCAGAGTTCTGCACCTTTGGCAACACAGCCAAGCTTTATTCCTCCATGCACCCATGTGGTGCAAGGGCCCCCGTGCAGATTCTCCTTGCTCTTTCATGGAAGGAAGGAAAGCCACCCGCAAGTTCTCCTAGGAGAACTTAACAGCTTCCCTCACCCTCTCTCCTGTGCTTTCTCACATAACCTCAAATTTCAACTTGCAGGGAATGAACACTCAGATTCGTGGGGAAGATCAAATGTTTGAACCTCTGCAGCTTTATTGATCAGTGCCCCAGTACCTGCAGTAACTAACGATAATGTATGACCGGGTAGAGGCAAACTCGACTACAAAGCCACAGCCCACGTACAGATGCTTTTATAACCTGCTAGTTCCATACACCAATACAGAGTGTTAAGTTTCCAGAAACTGCAATTATAAGGCATTTTAATGTCTTCAGGCATGACATAATGTTTAAACCGATCAGGAATACTGGCAACAAAAGTATGGAAAATAATACTGGTTGCTTTATTGACATGCCAATTAAGTAGATTTCTTTGCAGTTTGCATCAGCCTGTATCTGTTTGAACATGCAAATATGTCTGATGGAGGAACCATTCAGGAAAACTGGTTTGACCACTACACTGCCTAGATGATTAAATGGATTCAGTCAGAAACAAATGAATGTCTTTGTCTCAGTGGTCTGAACACCTTATTTCCTCACAGATAACGTTAGCCTACAGCAGCTTCTCAATCCAGTTAAGAATTATATCTTGTTAAAGAGACAGCAATGCTAAACAGTAACCTGGCTTGCGATTCTGCTGCTTTCTGAGAAAGAGGCACAGGTTTGATTTTATAATACAAAGGCACATATAAGCAACTTTTTTCTCCCAGGATTTATCTGCATTTTCCCAATATTTCCCATGTGTGCAGGGGAGCGGGTGGGGAGGGGGGAATTGTGTAAGAGCACAGTGGTGCTATTTTGAAATTGCACCATTTCTCAGCTGCAAGTTCCTTTCAAAAGGCCCCTTTAGGTCAAAACTGATGTGAGGTTTAGCTCAAAGATGACCTGTCTCCTCACATTTCTTTCCAGACTCCATGAGCTTCAGTTCAGAGGGTAAGAGAGATAAAAGGTCAACAAAACCCTGAGAATACTTGTGATATATTTTTATTAGACCAAATCATTTTTCAAATGGACAGACAGAGCAGTCAACCAAGGATTTCATTGTGATTGCGTCTGCAGGAAGGAAAGACGTGGCACTGAAAGAAAGGTAAATGTTCCTCAGTGTCTCCCTGAGCATTTTTCAAGTGTTTCACTTTTGAAAGAGCATAATCCTAATAGAGTTTCCAGCCACAAAACAAAAATTCCCTTTTAAGACTGAAAGTCGACAATGGACAGGTTTAATGGAGCCACAAGTGACTGCCATAAATGCCTTGGCAAAATCGCCTTCCGAAAGACTGGCGAATGCTCTCAGTAGCTGGTCTTCCAACTGCTTCACAACATCACCACAACACCCTAAACCCACAACACCAGTCTTTGTCTAAGGCTGATGTCATCTAGGGTATCTCTGAACTGAGATCAGAAATGCAGGCCACCAGCAAACATGGGTCAGCCGTAAGGAACAACCACAATTCATGCAAGGTGCTGGCCTTCCCAGAAAGCTTCCCTGCCTTGAATAATTTCCTTGTTGGGAACTTCTGAGATGCTCACAGTGGCAGGGCTCAGCAACCACTCAGTTACATTTTACTGACTGACTCAAACACTTTCTAGGATATCTTTCAGCAGAAGCTTTCCAGGCAAAATAATGAAAGATAATACAATAACATAATTTTAAATATGGACAATTTAATATTCTGAACCAGCCATCCCAAAACCAGTGCCATCCTGAAATGTTGGACTACAGCATGTCAGGACAGGAGGGCTGTGCTAAATCAATTAAAAATTAACTAAAACAATTAAAATAGGAACTAAAAGTAGCCATTAAACATAACTAAAACAGACGCAGAAGAAATACAATTATCAAATTAAACCCAAGAGAATAAAGGTAAGCTCGTTCTCTTTCTGGAACCAGAGGACTGAGTGCCCTACCTCCAAGAGCATTTTGGCCTCACTGGATCCTTGTAAGACAAGGAATGAGACGAAAGGAAGGGTGGGATGGGATGCGGAGGGAAATCTGTAAGCTTGGTGTGAGATTCCAGAGGTAACAATTTGTTCATCCCAAAAAGGAAGTTCCTTCAGCATGGATATCATCTAGCAAGTTGTCTTCAAAGCTTGCAAAATGTCCATTTATCAGTGAACAGAATTTCCTGGTCGAAAGGTTCATTCCAGAAGGCACACCTTCAAGTGGGTAGACAAAGAGATCAAAAAATCCACTATTCATCAGTCTGGAATAGTCATTGTGTGTTTTTTCAGCTTTCAGGAAAAAGCCAAACAATGTCTTTAATAATGCATTCTAATGTTTTCTGTGTTGTCTTTCTCTGAGCCAATTTCTGCTGATGTTTTAATTATTATCATCTTAAAGTACAATGCAGTACCAGCCTATAGAAAGCACTAATGAGGCACTTCAGGGTTACTGTACATTTAATAAGTGGCTTCCTACTTACTGTTTTAATAGTTACTTCCTAATCATTCTCTGTGTCTGCAGCATCCATGAATCACCTCTTTATTGATCACATTTTGGGATGAGATGGGAATGGTTGTTCCTGAGTGCTTTAATTACTGGCTACCTTGTCACAGACAGAACAATCACTTTTTTTTAAAGATATGACTACATTTTTCCACTGCAATACAATATAATAAATGAACAGCCTAGTTTCCAAAAGAAAGCAGGTCATTAAAGTGCTAATTCCTCTCCCACAATAAGGAAGAGTAACAGACTAAGGGGCAAACCAGGAGTGCCACAAGAAGCATCTAATTAAGGACTTTACAAGAAAGGGGCAAGGCAGAAGCTTCTAATTAAAGGGCTAGTTACAGGAAGAAGCAGGACCCTTGCAAAATAGGAATTACTTCTAAGAAAACATGTAGTGGGAGTTTACCGTGATGCGGGTATTTTTTGATTTGTATGGAGGAAAGTGCTATATCAAGTGCGTGCTAAATCTACTGGCAGCAGTTTATGGAAAAGCAATGCCTCAACAGTGCTAGAAGGAGAGCAGAAAGAGCCACTGATGACAATGACGTTCATGCTCAAGGCACTGGCTCTGCCTCCTCTCCCCACAACCATGTCCGGCTGAGCAATGTCCAATTGCTGCATCTCTCCCTGCGTCCAGCCACCGTATCTAGTGGATCAACACGATCCATCACACGCAAGAACGACCGGACCCAGAATGTGGAGGCACAGCGGAAAGCAGCACGTTGGTTATTGCATGTCCTTTCAGAGCAGACAGACAGACTCTTTTGAGCCTCTCTGTACAAGGCATTTATTGTGTGCTCCCGATTCCTCATCCCTGGTAGTTTGTAGGTGATTTGCATGACATATTCATCCTGCAAGGGCCCTCCTGCGCTTTCTTTTTTCTAAAAAAGGAAGTCTGGTATTATCTCTGAATGGTGTCATGGACATATTTTGGGGGATCCTGCAAGGGGAAAAGCTCTCGGTGCTATGCTCTAAAAGGTAATTCAATAATATATGTGCTTTTATCCCAGAAGACTTCCCTTTTCGACTGCTACAATTCATGACCATGGTTGCCTGATCCAGGATAGATCAGAGAGCTTGCAGCTGCATCATCCCACGGATTGCTCCAAACTTGTGCTCACTGGGGCTTACGAAGGCGCATCTGCAGCTCGGCCATCATATTGGGGTGCATAGGCCCAAAGCTGAGAAGACAAAAAGAAGGGGACAATGAGACAAAACTCAGGAGGCTATGGATAATCCTACTCCCTGCCTAGTTCTTCTCCAACTCCTAGCAGTAGTGAGATATTCATATTTACCCAGAGTGCCTCAGGTTTGGCCTTCTTGGTGCTTGCAGTTGAGGTTGAGAAGGGGCATCCTCAGCAATGTTTGTCTCTTGTGGTTGGGTCTCCAGTGATGGCCTTGGTCTCTTCAAAGTGGGCACCCGCCGGATGGAGCTCTTACGACGTAACAGCACCCGTTCTTTCTGGGCACTCGTGTCCAAGGGTGTGACCTACAGGATAGAAGTAGCTTAGATAACCCCACTGTCCCGACTCCCTGCACACTCCATTTTCCTTTGAGTTATGCTGACCTTCCCACTTTTGGGCGCACACCTTAACATCGTGAGAGGGTTTGAGTGTCCGAGAAGCCAAGAGCCATGCTGCCAGGTAGCCAGGCTCTTACTGGGCTGGTCTCCCAGCAGGGTCACCCAAGGCAGAATGGTCAAAGCAGAGGTATCAGGCCAAGAGGCATCCACCCGCTTTAGGAGTAACAGCCAGAAGAATGGATCTCTATCGTGTGAAGGGGTGGGGGAACGTATGAGGAGCAGTGACTGGGGTCTTTCACAGACAATGGAAGTGATGCCCAAGTTCACTCTGGTTAGTGCTGTACAGAAGAAGGCAAATTTAAACCACTCCCGAATACTCTTGCCTTGTAAACCTTACAAGTCACATTCCTGGGGAATTTAAAGTCCAGATGAAAACAGGCTTGCATTACTGAACTCAATTGACTATGAACAAGAAGAACTGTTGACTGAAACCACTATTGTTGTGTTGTGTTATATTAATATGAAACCATATTATTATTAGGAAAAATAATTATAATTATTAAGGATATTGTTAGGGAAGAAGGCTCCTTTTCCTAGGGGGAGCCTAGAATGACAGAAGAAACACTCACAATTGTTATGGGCAGGCAAGAAGCAAAAGCAAAAGGTGAGAGAAATTGAGACAGAATCCTGAATGCAACTTTCCAGGGACTATCATGCAGAGACAAAAAGAACTATTACAATGGCTAGTGCAGCAAAGAATGACAAACGAGGAAAACAAGAATCCCCCTTGAGAAGTTCCAAAAAATTCAAAGAGAAATTCAACACTAGATTAGGAAAGAAATGGACACTTGATGCATAATCTGTACGGTGGACAAAAAACTACTGTTAGGAAAGAATGAGGAGGAACAGAATGACTCCCATAGGCAAAGGCATCAAATGCAGGTGTATTTAATCTCCATATCCAGGGCTTCTTTTGTCATAGAACGCACCAGAACAGCGTTCCGGCAGCTTTTTTCAATGGATTTTACGAAGCGATTTTGAACAGCACAGCAGATCAGCAGCAAACATCATTAACACAGTGCCTGCAGGCTGCTATTGTGTCTGCCATCTGCTATCTGATAGTGCTCAGCTTGAGATTGGTGTGTGTGCTTACTGCGGTGGGGACGGGTTCCCCCACCTTTTTTTTTTTTTTTTTTTTTACAAAAAAAGCACTGTCCATATCAGTTCAATCTGTTTGCAGGAGATATTAACAGGAAGTTAGATTAGGATCAGAGGAAGGAGGATTGAAAATTTTATTTCTTTCTTTCTATTAAATGTGTATAAACGCTGCCTGCTAGTGTCATGTTTCCTAAAAATTAGTGGAAGACATATTAATAATTTAAGATATTCAGATGATACTGTATTAATGGCAGAAAGCAGCAAAGAATTGAAATGGTTTCTGATGAAAGTGGAAGAATAACGTGCTAAAGCAGGACAGCAGCTGAACTTTAAGAAAACAAAAATCACAAATTCTCCTGCTGAAGAATTACACAACTTTAATGTCTTTAGTGTAGTGCAGAAATGGAAATTGTGAAAGATTTTCACATACCTCGGCTCAGTCATCAGTACAGATGTAGACTGAAGCCAAGAAATTCGAATAAGACTGAGACTTGGAAGAACAGCAAAGAAGACACTGGAAAAGATCGAGTGTAAGGATGCTTTTCTGGAGACTGAGGCCTAGATCTTCTACACTATTGCATTCCTGATGACTACATATGGGTGTGAAAGCGGGATAGTGAAGAAAGCTTTCAGGAAGAACGTTGGAGCATTCAAAACACGGTGCTGGAGGAGAGCTTAGCCAATATCCTGGACTGGCAGAAAGACAAGCCAGTGCATCCTAGATCGAATCAAGCCAGAACTTGCCCTGGAAGCAAAAACGACAAACTGAGGCCTCTGTCCTTCAGGCACATCATGAGAAGGCAAGGCTCCCTGGAGAAGACAATAATACTAGGGGACAGTCGGAGGCAGAAGAAAAAGACCAACTATGGGATGGATTGATGCTACAAAGGAAGTCACAGCCTTGAGTTGGCAGAAGCTGAGCAGGGCTATCAAAGGCAGGCCCCTTGGAGGACACTCTTTCTCAGTGTCACCATAATTTGGGGAAGATTTGATGGCACGTAACAAGAAGAAATGTTTACCTCAGTCAGGACGGTCCTGAGCCCAGAGAAGGCGTCTGTATCGATGGAGGCACAGTATTCCATGTTTCCTTGCTGCAGGCTGCTGTCCGTCTCTTCCAGAGGCCTTGACTGGCCCTCAGTCGTCTCAGCATCTTCCAGCACTCCTCCTTCAAGCCTACTATCTTCTGCTGGCTTCTCCATCAATTCCTCCTGGTCACTACCCTGCCATTCTTCTCTGGCTGCTGCTTCTTGTTCTCCCCCGCTAGCCTGGGCCCCATTCCTCACAGGTTCTTCTAGCTCCTCCTCTGTTCCTTCTGCCCCTGCCAGTTCCCCATGCTGCCTGTTCCTATTTCCCACTACTCCCTTTAGCCCCTCGTCTTGCACTTCTGCAGGTACCACTTCCTTGGTCTCCGGCCAGTGGCATCCTACCCCCTGTTCCTCTCCTTCTAGCACTTCTTCCAGGTCTCCTTTGGCCTCTTCCATAGCCAGCACTGCTTGCTGAATCCCTTCTTTTGCCACTGCCCTATCTGGCGCCCGATGCTGGTTCTCCTCCATCTCTGCTTCAGGCAGGGCCCATTCTGGTGCCCCTTGCTGAACACCCTCATTCCGCAACTCTTCCTCCACCTCCTTCCTCTGATCCTGTGTGGTCCCTCCTGTAGCAGCTTCTTCCAGTTCTTCTTCTGCCCCCCATCCATGGCTTCTTCTAACATTTGCCACCCTTTCCAGCATCCTTTCCTGGTCTTCCACAGTTTCCACCTCACTCAGCATCTCTTGCTGAATTCCTTTCTTTTCTACCCCTCTATCTGGTTCCTCCTGCTGGTCCTCCTTCACCTCCGCTTCTCCCTCCTGCTCTTTCTCAGCCCTTGCCAGCTGTTCTTCCACCATCTTGGCTTCCATTTCCAATCCGCCATGTTGAAATCCCCCACTCCATGCTTGCTCCTCTAGACCTCTCTGCTCTTCCCCAGCAAACAGAACCTGATCTGTAGCCCTATCATTCCACAATGTTTCCTCCAGCTCCCTCTCCTGATTCCCTTCAGCCCCATGTACCTCCTCTAGTTCTCCCTGTGGCTCCCCCTCAAGGCATCTCCCAACCCTTTCTCCCCTTTCTAGCACCTGCTCCTGGTCTTCCACAGTTTCTGCCCTGCTCAGCATCCCTTGCTGAATGCCTTCTTTTTCTGCCACCTCCTGCCGGTCATTTTCTGCCTCTTTTTCTTTTTCCTGTTCCTTCTCAGCCTCCAACAAGAGACTTTCCACCATCTTGGCTGCCTGTTCCTGCTCCCCATGCTGAGATCTCCCAGTCCATGCCAGATCTGGTGCTGTGTGCTGAATGTCCTCATTCCACAACTCTTCCTCCATCTCCTTTCTCTGATCCTGTGTAGTACCTTCTGCAGCTGCTTCTTCCAGTTCTTCTGGCCTCAGTTCATGGCTTCTCCTAACCTCTATCCCCACTTCCAGCTTCCTTTCCTTGTTTTCCACAGTTTCTGCCTCACTGAGCATCTCTTGCTGAATTCCATCTTTTGCCACTTTCCTATCTGGCTCCTTCTGCTGGTTCTCATCTACTTCAGCTTCTCCTTTGTGTTCTTTCTCAGCCTCTGCCAGCTGTTCTTCTACCATCTTGGCTTCCATCTCCAATCCGCCATGTTGAAATCCCACAGTCCATGCTTGCTTCTCTAGACCTCTCTGCTCTTCCCCAGCAAACAGAACCTCATCTGTAGCCCTATCATTCCACAATGTTTCCTCCAGCTCCCTCTCCTGATTCCCTTCGGCCCCACTTACATCTTCCAGTTCTCCCTGTGGCTCCCACCCAAGGCTTCTCCCAACCCTTTCTCCCCTTTCTAGCACCTGCTCCTGGTCTTCCGCAGTCTCTGCCCTGCTCAGCATCCCTTGCTGAATGCCTTCTTTTGCTGCCAAGTCCTGCTGGTCATTTTCCGCCTCTTTTCCCTGTTTCTTCTCAGCTTCCAACTGGAGGCCTGCCACCATCTTGACCGCCTGTTCCTGTTCCCCATGCTGAGATCTCCCAGTCCATGCCAGATCTGGTTCCCCTTGTAGAATCCCCTCACTCCACTGAACCCCCTCCAGCCCCTTCTCTTGACCCCTGTTTAGCTCTCCTGCCCCATCCAGTTTGCCATGATCTTTGCTTCCAGCCGATGAGCTGTCTAGCTCCCAGTGCTGATTCCATTTTGTTGCTGCCCTCTCCTCCAGCACTCCTTCCTGAACTGCCCCCATCCAGATGGATGCTTCTGCCTCTCTTTGATGGAGCCCCGCCATTGTGTTTGGCCCTTGCAGGTCTCTCTGACTGATCTTGCCTGGCCCAGTGGCCATGGATCTTGGCTCTGGGCCATTCCCTGATAATTGGGAGGACTCTGTGGGGAAGAAATGGGAAGGGATGAATAGCACAGGTCTAGGCCTCCTCCTCCCTGCCTCTGAGCATCCTGAACTTTAAAGGTACACCCCACGTCCCCAAAAGACCATTTTTTACAGTTCCCCATGAAAGAAGGGGTAATTATTTTAAAATACTTGTTTACCTCACATTTCCTTGAAAAGACTAACAAATTCTAACTGTTTTCAAAAACCCCACAGAAAATGTGAAATGTCAAGTAGAACAATATAAAGCAGAAAAAAAAGATGTTAAAAGCAAACTCTAAAGCAGGAATAACATATCATGTATCCTAACATATCAGCAGAAAAACTGAAGCCATGCAAAATATTTGAAGTTCTAATATCACTGTCAGGAAAAACAACAGGACACCCACCCCCTTGGCCAGTATGAATAAATTTATTTCCCTTCCCTATGAATCTTTAGCAGAGTTTAAGCTGAAGCAGGCAATATCAGACCTTACCATGAGAACTTTATTCAGCTGCCAGGAACTGGCCCAAGAATGGGAAAATCAAGGAAGTCTCTGGATGCGTGCAGAGTGCCTTTTCCTTGCAGTTGAATAACTCACTTCCCACAGATTTCAGATCAGCAGGCAGAGCAGGGAAGGGAAGTTTCTGGCCCATGGACCAAAGTTGCACAACAAGCCACCCCATCCAGCCTGAGAAGTCCCTCCCAGAGCTCCACCCCTTTGGAAAAGGGAAAGGGACTCCTGGCTGAGCCGCTGCTTCAAAGAGACCTCTTTGAGTTAGTCTTGTTCCCATCTCAAACAAGCCAGATAACAACACATGTGCCCTGGAATCATCCCTCTCCCCCCTCCCCGCCAGTGTGACTTCACTGCATTCTAGAATCCTGAATCACCTGAGAGGATCTGTTGAAGCTCTGCCTCTCCCTCCCGTCTGACAATGGCCTCCGTATCCTGACCGCCACCGACTGCTGCTTCTGATGTCACCTGGACGTGCTGGCGGGTTGGGTCCACCTGAAAAAGCAGGACCAAAGTAAAGGAGGGGCCCTTGGGTGGTTCTTGCCCTGCCCATCCCGCCCCTTCCCCTCCAACCCCTACCTCTGCACCGAGTGGATCTTCAAGTGCCCCCAGCGGTCCCCTCGGAGGACCGTCCCTGCAAGGCAGAGGTGGAAGAGGGGTAAGGATGCATCCAGCTGCAGGGGAGAGGGTTCTGTCCCGGGGTAGCCACAGCTCAGGACCAGAAGAACAGTTCCCCATGTAAACAACCCGGACTCCCTCCCCAGATCAAATCCCTGTTACCCGTCACGTTTTGTCTCCACTTCGCCGTCATGCTGGCAGCTGTGAGCATTCTTTGTACTTCTTGATTCCTCTGCTCCTGGGTGAGCTTCATCTCCAAAGAGGTAGGCAGTGAAGGAGGAAATAAAATTCTGAGAAGTGGGGAGGGAGCAAAACACCAAATCCAGATTGTCAGTTTAAGATTCCAGTAGACCACCCCCCCCACACACACACTTATAGATAAACCAGGGGTCTTGCATCCCACCCAAACTCAGTTGATGATGGGGTATTCCTAACCACAGCCTGTTGCAAGCTTCCCAGCAGCCGTTGAAACGACTCCATCAGGCATCTAGGTCAGGTGGAGAGGAGGTAAAGCAGCTTCTCCTTTCTCCCCAGAGAGGGAAGTAATGCTCTCAGAGCGTTTGACCACATCCTCCTCCTCCTCCTCCTTGCACTTCTGAGTGACTTTGCACAACTGCAGCAGCAACAGCATACCACAAGCCTGAGAGAGAGAAGCCAACTTTGGTCAGTGCGTCAGAATCATATGCTTACTAAACTGACCTCAGACAAGAGGAGTAGAAAATAGTCTCTGGGAAAAAGAAACTTGACAAAGCCATTTAAGGCTTAAATTCTACAGTTCATTTGCCACCAAAATTCTACAGTTTGTTTGCCCACACAGGTCCCCAAGTTTTCTTGCATTTCTTGTAAATTTTGCTGGCATTTCACCTCACCCTGATTCTGGCCAGCAGAACCAACAGGGAGGAATGCTGGGCAACTGTCAAGACCCTCCTGGCCATCCCCCTGCCATCCCTGCTTGCAGGTAGATTACTGCCTGCTCACCTGCTGACCACACAAGCGTGACTAGAATGAGGAGATGGAGCACCTTCTCAAACTTGCATTCTCCCTCTGGTGGTAGCACAGAGCGGGCTGAGAGGAAGAGGGCTTTGGTGACAACACTGAGGATGAAATGAACCCCCAGTGATGGGGCTCGTGCTATTGGGGACATCTTACCCAAGATCTCCCAAAACCAGGGGCTGGCACTACTGACTTGTGATCAAGTTTTACTGATAACATTTCTACATTCTGTCTCAGTCTAGGGGAAGGACCTGGAGCAGATCTGAAGTGGGTTCTGGCATAATGGTGAAATAGAACTGGGATTAGAGGTAAGACAGGTATATATTTGTAGTATTAATGGACCTATTAAAATATTTCTATCATGCCTTACTGCTCCAGAAATGGGAACCTTAAGGAGGCTAGCAGCCACAATAGTGATAAAAAACAGTTTAATTTTAAAACAATTGGGGATCAAAACAAAGTAAACCATACATTACACAATGAAGGACCATAATCTGGTGTACAAATGGAATACACTTGTCTCCCTTGTCTGATAAGGCCATTGACTGTTAAACTGTAAAGGAGGTTCCCTAGATGGAAATATCAGTAAATTCACCTGTTTGGGGCTTGCTTGACAGAGATTACAACAATTTTGCTGTATGCGTTGAGCACACAGTAAGTTGCCTCTTTAAAACAGTAACGACTGGAAGGTGATGGGTGTACCTAATTGTAGTAGATCTAGTGACAGAGCATTCTTAGTATAAAGTTTGGTTCTGTTCCCTCTATTGAATGGATTTTCTTTTGAAGTATAGTCTCTAATCCATAGCAGGTGGGCTGCTAGGAGGAAATCAAGAACAAGAACACAAAACCACAAGTACAAACTAAATTTTGAAAAAGAATTTGAGGAAGCAAAAAAGCTGGAGATAATGATCTGAACCACATGTGGAATCGAAGCGTAGCACTGGAAAATATCCCTCAATGTGATGTTAGATCTCTTAAGGGTGCTTAAAAAGCACTGCATATCTTCCCTAAATTTCAGTTTTTTTCTGGAAAACACTTGGAAAAATGTTGCTTTTTCCATGGATTCAAAATTTCCTGCAATTTTGCATTTCTACTGAGGACAAGAATATAACATCATCTTTAACATCCCTCAAATTCATCAATGTTTTTATAGATTACCCAGGGATTATGGAGTGAAAAAATATCAACCTTGTGATCTATGATGAAGCAGGTGACCAGGTATGTTCTTAAACTGGCTTCTTATTGTCTTTGTGCCTGATATTGCTGTGGACAATTACATTTCAGTCTAAATATCAGATCATCTAAATATTATCTAAATAAACATATAACAGGCACCAATTACATAATAGGTTTTCACAGCTAGGTGTGATTTACTACATCCCAAGTATCCCTAAGAATATGTATCAATTGTCTTCTCAACACATACATGTGATTTATTTTCCCACGAGGTGAAACTGAGCAGAGAAATAACCAATACCTGAACATCTCCTCCTACAAACAAGAGGGGAAAGCACGTGTGTAGCATGAAAACAAAAAAGAAAGAATTCTCAGGTGTTTGGAAAAAAATACTTATTTTGGCCAACATATTTTGGAAACGTACAACAACACCTCCCTCCCTCCCTCCCTCCCTCCCTCCCTCCCTCTCTCTTTCTCTCTCTCTGCTATATTGAGAAGAGTGCTTCCAGTATCTTCTGCATTTGTCTCAATATAGGTGAAAAAAGATAAACATACGTTAATGAAGGAAAAAGATTGTTTCTGAAACAAGCTGGGCATAATAAATATTCTTCCTAACCATTGGATAATTTTTCCCTTCCTGTTCCTTTTCATAAAACATCTAATGGGCCACACCTGCAAATTGGATGTAAATGTGGATGAACATCAAGTTCAATGTGGCTGAATGTCATTGCAGAAGGACTCTCATTAAAGGTCCTGTTGCAAGAAGATGTGCTGCCTAGCAAAAGTTTGCGCTCAGATCAACCAAGAAGCCTGGCAGTAGGATGAACATTTGCTGAAGTAGAGGATGTCATTAGTCAGAGTTTGACTGAACATGACATTGCCATTGGACCATGGGCGTGGGCATGGAGGAAGGGCCAGAAAAGCATCATCCATAAAGGAAGAAGTGAAACAAATTATTAATAAAGGGGATGATTTTAATTTTTGCCTGAGATCTAAATATAACGTTAGTCACAGGACATGTTGCTGAACTTCTGGGAATCTGTTGATTAGGCTGCTCTGCTAAACTTTATTATATTCCTTTGCTGACATTTCTGGGTTAACTTGCTGGCATGTTTGCTGACCTTGATATTCTAGAGTTGCATCAGGCATGGATTTCACTTCTGTATCCTGGCACTGCTGAAAAAAGTATTAGATGAATGGCACAGGGACACCTCAGACTGCGAACAGCCTAGCACCAATAGCTCCAGTTGTGTCAGGGAAGCCGATGCAGCTCGTAGGCACTCAGTCAAGACTGCCTGGGCAGTCAATTCCAGGATGGCCCACCAACCTGTTCTATTAGCAGAGCCTACCCTGGACTACCTGGGAAAGCTGAAGGTCTCCCACCTGACCACTAGAGGGTCTGAGCAGTCTCCTTACTGAAGGTGTGAATTGTACTCACAGGCACCTATAGAGTGGCCACACGTCCTTCTTTATAGAGGACAGCCTCTGATAGTCCTGTATTTAAAGGGCTGTCCAGTTTAAAGAAAGGAGAAAGAGGGGGCTTGGCATTGCTGGCCAGGTGGTGCTGGGGGGGCAGATGGCGCAAGCATTTGGGCCCGCTGGTCAGTCTTCCCCCCTGCAGTGAGATATATTTCCATTTTGAATAATTAGTTCCAAACTGGCATCCAAATTAGCATATGTCAATGTAATGCCAACCTGAGCTCCTTCTTTGACGATGTCTCAGTGACCAGGTCTGGTAAGGATGCCCTGTTGTTGTTAGAATCAGTGGTCGATTTCTTGTTTAATAAAGTGAGTTATATCCTCCTTTTATGGTCCTGATTCCTGTTCCTGACTGCAGTCTGATTAAGTTTCAAGTCGATCTATGTCAGTAGCACTGAGAAGTCTCTTTCTTCTTGCACATTCACTTTGCTGCCACCTTCCTAGTTTTTTGCCCATGCTTTGAAAATGTTTCTGCTCTCCAAGGACCTTGGAAACTAATCTGAGGTTATGTTCCTGTTGGTTTGCCTTACAGTTTTTCTCTGCTGCTCTTAGAGTCTGTTATGATTATTTTTATTGGATCGGTTATTTTTATATGCATTTAAAAACTCTTTCGTCATCTACATTGGATGTCCATAGAATAGAAGAGTTGGAAGGGGCCAGACGGCCATGGTGTCCACCCCCACCCTCGCTCAGTGCAGGAGTCCAAGTTAAATCATCCCCCTCAGCTGCACCTTGAATGCTCTAGTGTGGAACAGCCCACGACTTCCTAAAGTAATTGATTCCACTGTCAGACTGCTCAGGAAATTTTTCCTGGTATCTGGCTTCTTGCAATGGGAGCCCATTATTCCTGCATTCTGGGAAGACTGAGAAGAGATCTTGGCCCTCCTTTGTGATAGCCTTTTCAGTACTCGTAGCATGCTATCCTATCTCTCCTCAGTCTTCTTTTCTCGAAGCAAAACATGCACAGTTCTTTCAATCTCTCCTCAGAGGGTTTTGTTTCCAGTTTCTGGATCATCCTTGTTGCTCTCCTCTAAACCCTTTCCATCTTTTGAAAACTATGGTGCCCAGAACTGGATCTCTTGGATCTACTAGAAGAGGTCTCTTGTTTTTCTTCTTTTGCTGTTCTCCTTTTCTTTGCACTGGTCATTGTAATGGTCCATTTTGGCTCCACATATGCCTTGGCTGAAAAGTTGTATTCAGCAGTCTTACCCCATTGCTTTCTTCTTTCCTTCTTTTGCTTTTGCGTCTTGTCTATCCACAGCAACTGTATTTCTTCTGTCATTCATCGAGGTTTTTTTCTTTCACTTTACTGCAGGAAGGAATTTTGGTATTCTTCCCTGGCTTCAGTCCACAGTTTTTCTAGCTGATGGTGAGTTGAGTTCCAAATCTGTTCTCTACAACCACTTTAAATAAATAGATTGTGATTTAAGTTGAATGTTGTCACTTTGCTTCTCTTAATTATCTTTTTAAGCTATACTCTCATATGAAACGAAATAAAATTTCCTCGAACTCAATTGAAACGACTAGCTAATAGATTTTTCTCCTTTCCTTTTTGCTTTCTTTTTCAGGTCACAAGACTATGCATCTTCAGGCGGAAAAAACCTACAACTCCTAGCATTTCTCAGCTAGTACGTCTGGTAAAAGAATCCTGGGAGTTGTAGGACTTTTTTTTTTCCTGTCTAACTCGGCCTAGGATTGTGTGTCCAGTTGTTGCTGGAGCGGGGGATTGATTAAAGCGGTGCACAAGCAAGGGCACTGGAAACAGGAAATGGCTTCAGACCGGATTCAACACCTCCAGAGGTTCCCGTTTCGGGAGAAAGCCTCTTGCCTGGGCAGCCCCTAGATATGCAGCAACGAGCGTTGATGGGCTAAGCGATTCCTTAAAGGTACAGGGCACGCGCTTTGGGAATAGGAGGGAATTGTGCATGAATGAAGGGAAGAAGAGAGGGAGAGGCAATCATCTTAGTGTAGTTATGAAGCGTCTGGGATCGATTATTTCAACCCTCCCGTCCCCCATTTTTCTTGTTTAGGTAGTTCATCTTCTCCCATCTGTCATGGGGCCAAGCAGGGGTGGATGGCGAAATATCCCAGCTGATTCCGAAGGTGAGTCTTGGTGTTCCTCTCTAGTTCTTTCCCCTACACCCCTTCTCTTTGCCGATACTAGCTTTCGCTTTCCTCCAAAAAACAGGGGAAGATGAGGACTTCCCACCTCCTGTGGAGCCCGAGACTACCCAGGATAACTGCAGTCGGAGGAGGAACAATCTGGGCTTCTGGTGAGGTCTCACTGGGTTTATCTCCATTTTTGTTCAAGGCCCTGTTGTGCATGCAAAAGCAGATCTTTCAGCGATTTGTTATTGTGTGTTCTTTCTGCCTCCACAGTGACAGCTCAGTTCTGCTCTTGCTTTCCTGTTTTGTTTGCTTTGGGGGTGTTTCTGGAAGGAGGACTCTGTGCCCTGGCAGTCAGACGACATGGTGCAGCTCTTCCATCTTTGCTGTCTTAACAGATTGTGTGTAGAAAAGAGGGAGAAGTGGTGGGAAAACACAGGAGGGTTATGAACTGAAGACAATGAGAATTAGACAAGAGTTGTGCAGAAAGCAGATTGCCAGATGCTTTAGGATTCAGTTTCCAGCCTTCTTGACCATTGGCCATACTGGCAGTGGCTTCTGGCTGTAGAAGGTTAAAGCATCTGGAGACTGAGCTTCTGTCCACCCTGGGTCTCAGCCACCTCTACCTTTCCATGAATGAGGCATGGGTTTCCAAGACATGGCTATGACACGATAAAAATGCCCTCTGGAAGCATCCTCAGCCCATCAGCTTCTGCATGTTTCGCTTTCTACTTCCTGCAGCCGTTCTAATTCATTTCTGGGCTTCTCTCTGCTTGCAATGCACACATTAGTATTTATTTTCTTTACATCCTGGATCTCTCCAGCGCTGCTCACCTGTAGCTTGTCTTGCACAGCCTCTTACATGCACTTTGCCTGGGTGCTGGGGATCTTGGGCTGGGGAAATGGCACTGAAGACACAGTGGTGAGGCTGCAGTCTAAAGGTACACGAGACAAGAACCTTGCTGAAGCTAAGAAGGTCTGGTCTGGCCAGTGCCTGGGAGAAGGGAAGCTTGTGCGCGCTCCCTCAAACTCCATCATGGAGGAAAGAATAGATGTAAGTGTAAAAAGTGAAATGATGGTAACCCTGTACTCTGTAGCTTGTGAGCCTGAGATGCCCCGTTCCCTCACCCCACTAACTAGCAGGATTCCACCCCACAGGCTACTGGGACTCTGCAACAACTTTGCTTATGTGGTCATGCTGAGTGCTGCCCATGACATTCTCAACCATCAAAAGGTGCCACCAGGCAATGGGACTGAACCGGTAAGTGTGCAAATGGAAGAGAGAGAGAGAGAGAGAGAGAGAGAGAGAGAGAGAGAGAGAGAGAGAGAGAGAGAGAGCTGGGCTCAGGAGGAAGTGCCTAATCCTGCAAGAAAGAGGTGTGTGGAAAATAACAAGATCTCTCTCTGTATGATCTCAGAAGTAAGGAAGGGAATGCATGGGCTACAGATTTGTATTACCTGTGGCCAGTGGAGATTTAACAAGTCCAGTGAGCTCACCTTGTTATAGCAGCCTGGCCCTAGCTGGGACCTTCCGGTTGTGCTGGGACATGCTGCTGGCTGGATGCAACAGGCATCAACAGCTAGGACACCAGGATCAGTGGTGCTGGAGAGGAATGGAGCCCTTAGCAGAGTTCAGGAGAGCCAGAGTCAAAGGCAAGTCCAGATGCAAGCTGAGGTTGCATACCAGCAAGGTGAGGCAAGGTCAGAGGCCACGGTGAGGACAAGGCTCTGGTGGGGGCAGAACAAAGGCAAGGTCCGAATCAAGAGTATGGGGAGTCAACATGCAGTCAAGGGCAGGGCAAGACAAAGACGGATCGGCAACACAATACAAACACCCATATTTGTATTGTTGAGACGAACCTGAGCAATACAAGGCAGCCTTTCCTAGAGCCTTCCCTGCTGTGCTACTTTATCACACAGGCGCCAACTCTGCAAGTTCCTGTTGGCCTTATCCTGGTCACTAGAGGGAGCTGTGCCTTTGCTGACTACTAGGGCTGCTGGGAATTGTAGGCCAAAACTTCCGGAAGGGCCACAAGTTGCCCTCCCTTAGCTTAAATCCTTTTCTTTGCACTGTTTTTACTCAGAAGATCCTCTGCTCACCAGCTCTGCAACTCTGATATTTTCCTGGATTGTTAAAAAAGGAAAAAGGGACCAGAGTGAGGAGAAGGAAGGGTTAAAGCCACCTCCCATGCATGGCAGTCCCAGTTTGGATTGGGACCCCCCTTCCCCATGCATGCTATATAAGGGGAGCTACACGGCTGGGGCAAAGCAAGGCATTGAAAAGTAAACTTCCCATCTAGTTGACTCCAAATCCTCCACAATGTGCAGTAGCAGTGGTGTTTCACACAAGACTCTGGAACAAGGAGGGCATAAAGCGATACCAGAAAGGGCATTCTTAGCTCTTGCCCCTAACCTTTTGCTTCTTGTGCCCACAGATTCCCCCGCATACAAATGCTTCTCGCTATGATTGCAACCCCATCTCAACGGGGGTAAGTGTGCTTGAGAGAAGATGGTTCCTGGGGAGGTTTGCGCTTCCGGCACCAGCCGCTGCTCACGCCTGTCTCTCTGGTGCCCTTTTCAGGCTGTGCTGCTGGCCGATATTCTGCCCACACTGATCATCAAACTCAGTGCTCCTTTTTGCATCCACTGGTTCCCATATGGGTGAGTTGACCTGGTTCATCAGAACCATTTCGAGGGTAGAAGACAAATGCCCTTTCATTGTAAGAAAGAAGCACAATCTTTCATTTAAATATGTAGTGGATTTGTGACTTGGCAAAGAAAAGAAACGAATAAAAACATCGGCCATAGAGAAAGTTCAGCTACTGTATGAACCAGCAACCTTTCTGTTCACCTATACTAAAAATTTCTCACCCAATTGTTTATTTATATATATTTATAAGTATATTTATGAACAATGAATTAAAGAGTGTTACTCTTGTTATTATTGTTTCATTTCTCTAACGCCCAATAGTTGGCATCAGTGGGGCCACCACTAAGAAGGCTCTTTCCCTGTTGCCACCTTCTGAGCTTTCCTTGGAGGCAACACCCAGCAGAAGGCGTCCAGTGTAGATCCTAGTGTCCATCACTGTCATCCTCTGATCCTGAACATGAAAACATAGTTTATTTTCATGTTTTCATTTTGAGAACTTTTTTTTGCCTTTAAAGCACATCTCACAGAGAAAATCAGACCTGGCTTCAAAGAATCACAGATTCTTTGCTTTGCCATGACTGTTTTTCCTGGATGGACATGCAGTTGTTCAGTCACAACACTGCTAAGAGTCTAAATTTCCATTTCGTTTAACATTGGCAGCCATCCCTTCCACCCCTCACAGGGGAAAGGAGTTTCCAAAGGAATGTAGTTCCATATCTCTGCACTTGACTTGTTCCATTTTTTCCTTATCTCTCTAACTAGGGGAACTGGTTATTCAGGGCTTTTCTGTGTGAGGCCTTTAACCCAGCTTTTCTCCAAGGCTGCTTCTTCCATTTCTTTCCAAGAGAAAGGCAGCATCATTTGCATGCAGGGTTTTTCCCCTGTGGTTTTTCTTTCTCTGCCTTTCTGATTATTTTTTTACATACGCACAAAGTGCCAAAGGGGTATAGTGCAATTCCAGAATTATGCAGGCTTTAAAAAAAAGCCTGTTGGGTTTTAGACTATCCTCAGTCTAAAACCCAACACAAAGATGGCTGTAAATCCAGGAGAGGCCCTGGAGGGGGATGAAATCACAGAAGGCCACTACAGACTACCACAAGTAAAGAACCATGAGCATGGACTAATTCCTCGTGCCGGGAGGCCCTAGTAGGCAGGTAGCTGCTGTGAGGATGTAGGGAGAACTTTGTCACCAAAGCTGTCTTTGTCTGTGGCCTGGGTGGGCGAGAGATGGCTGGTTCCAACTCCGTGGGGTTGACTATCTTGTCTTTTTTCTTTCCCTTCCAATTCCCAGCCTGCGAGTTGCTATCTGTGTCATCACGGCCTGGGGCAGTTTCTTGCTGGTGGCTTTCTCAGCCAGCATAACTCAAAGTTTAGCAGGTAATACTTCTTAGAAAGTTATGGGGGAAGAGACAGGCTTCTGTTTATACTACAGGTGTGGAGCACAGGGGATCTAGCCTCTTTACCTTTAGTGGCACCCCATTTAGCTACTTAGAAAATGTTTGGAGCAACACATCTGCGCTTCATTAAAGGTCCTGGACACAAGAGTTGGGGAACCTTATGCCGAAGAGATCCCAGTCTGTCCTCTGGGGTTCTCTTGATGGCCACATCCCTTTGCAAAGCTCTACCTCCTTTTCCTGACCACCAGCTGTTGGACCGTTTCCTGGCTTTGCATGGTTCCTGCTCATTCCAAAAGGCTGCAATGGCTCTCCTCAGCCTTCATTACTGGCAATAAGAACCATAATTAAAATAAGCAGTGCCCCTTTGGCCTTCAGTCCCGCACATGATGGAAATCTTCCCCTTGAGAGCTTCTCTGAAATAGAATCCAGCCCTCGGGGTGAAATTGGTTTCCCTCCTCTGCTAGACATCTTCTCCCTGATGATCTGAACCTACACAGGACTGGAAGCATATGAAGTTCGTTGCACTTGAGTCTTGAACTTAGCCAAGTTGTTGAACTTAGCCAAGATTGCAGTGGGAAGCAAGTGAAACGAACTTATTCTAGATCCAACCCCATAACCACTTAATCCCTCTAATAGTAAACGAAAGTCAGGATAGCACTGTGGGTAGGGTGCCGGACTGGACCTCGGGAGATCTGGGCTGGAGTCCCCACTTAGCCACGATGTTCACCGGGTGACTTTGGCCAGCCACTGCCTCTCAGCCTAACCTACCTCACAGGGCTGGTTTGAGGATAACCCAGGGAAGAGGAGAACCTTGTAAGCGGCCTTTGATTCCTTGCAAGAGGAAGAAAGGTGGATGTAAATGCAGTAGGAGTAATAGTAGTAATCGGGAGACAAGTGCTGGCAGAAGCTGAGGCCACTGAGGAAAAAGAGGGAAACTATTCCATGTTTGGAGAAATCCTGAAATTACTGGAAACACAAACATAGTAGTGTGTCATTAAAAAGTTATCAAACCTATTTAATATCTCATTAGGCAGCTTTCTGTAGGCATTGGATTTTTGGAATCTAATGTGGTAAATAGACCCAGCCAGAGCATGCTTAACAGCAGCAGAATGTCACGTGTCAGCTGCAAAAGGAAAAAGGCAGGAGTGGGGCGGAAAAGAGTTTCCTGGCAGAGGGCACCCTGACCAGGCCTGCTTTCACTAAAAAGTCCGGATATCTGCAACGTTTTGTTGGAGGCACAGTTTAGAGGTTACTTAGACGAATAGCTTTAGTTCATGCCCAGGTATGGATAATTGTAGTACATGCAGCTTTCTTCTCCCCCTGATGTATTTATGGTGAGAGAAACTGTACTCGCCAAAGTTCTCCCCTGTACACAATTCGTAAAGGGCGGCATTTCTGGCTCAGGTGAAGCTGGGGGACTGGAGCACAAATTTGCACTCATATGATGGAGGCTTTTTCTTTTTTTGCTGCTGTAGGTGTTGTGCTGGCCAGTATTTCATCTGGCTTGGGTGAAATAACGTTCTTGGCACTCACCTCTTTCTTCAACAGGTAATGGAAAGGGAAGAGCAGTTTCAGGGCTGGGTATCAAGATTGGTGGTGTTGGCCATTTGATAAATGGGTGAAGTCTGATGCTTTACTCCACGGGCCCTGCAAAACCGTAAAGCGCTCATAGTGTGGTTTGTGGAGGTCCCAGCAGGCAGGGGGAGGATGCATGGGAGGAAAGGGAGAGGAAATGTATGGGTCTGAGAAAGCTACACATGCGCAGCCCCTGGCCCTCCATCCAACACTCAGGAATAAAAATGTCATGCACCAATTACTTTAGGGACTATTGCTTTATCCTTCTGCGTACTAGTGGGAGACAAAGATCCCTTTTAGTTCACTCAGCAGTTTGAGAAAAGGCTTTTAAGGACAGAGTGCTTGGCTCTGATTTGGAAGCAGCCTCACTCTGTTATTTTTCACTGTCAAAAAGAGATTCTGCATATTACAGCTTCAACAGTTCTGACACAGAAAAGCTAGTTGTAGGAAGGGCCTGTTAGCTAGCAGCTCTGTTGTCACCGATATGCACCATCTGCCATCTGCAGAGATGTTGTGCGACTTTAACAAAAATGGCAAAACAAAGGATCGATGCATGAACAAACATACATGCATCACACAATAACAGTTGCAAGCAGTTGGCCTACAGTAATGTATGCAGGGAGAAATAATACGGCTGGCCAATATTCGACTTGTTTGTCGTGCAGATCTGCGCTATAGAGTTGAAACAAGCGGTACCTGGAGGGTGGTGGAAAGGGGATGGGTGCCTGCTTGCATGGGACCCGCCACCAAGAGTAAGAAATAACCCGTTCCCTTTTCCCTGTCTCTGCCAGTGCCGTGGTTTCAGCCTGGTCCTCGGGCACGGGCGCAGCCGGCTTGATAGGGGCACTTTCCTACCTGTGGCTGACGCAGGCTGGCTTGAGCCCTCAGCACACCCTCCTCATCATGACTGTTGTTCCTGTCGTCATGCAGGTCAGGTGAGGCCTGAAAGCAACACCTGTGTGAGGGTCCCGGCGGTAGGAGGACGGTTGCCTGGGAGAGGGCTTGCTCTCAGAGATGTTGGAGAAATCTGCAACAGATTCAACTGAGCTGGGATTTCTATGACGCTATCTGCCAAAAAATGGCTTTTTCCCAGTCCCGTGGAATCTGCGGACTTGCAGACAGATGGGAGCTGGAATGTGCACCTGTGCCCATCAACTAATGCGATCATATGGATTAGTTCAAGTAAAATGACATTCTGGGGGGAAAAAAATCCCAGTTCAGTCAGTGTTGGTGCTTTTGGTGATCGGAAAGCCCCAAACTTGGTGTCTGATCTTCCCATATGGGGCAGGAGGAGCAGCCGAGGTGATCTTTGCCACCGCCGCCGCCTCCTCCTCCTCCTCCTGCTTTGCATACTTTGCTGGACAAGATTTTTTGCCCAGCTAGTGAGGGTGCTCCAGAGGAGAAGAGAAGGAAGCTGACAGGGGCTCAGCACATAACTACTGAGATGCAGAGCTGCACTGAATCCCATCAGGCTTCTTCCCGGGGAAGTAGGGCAAGAGTTGCAGTATTGCTACAATTATATACCTGGGACTAATCATACACACTTACCTGGGAATTAGTCCAGTTGAATTCGGAGCAGGTCTGAGTAGGCATTCAAAGTTGTGCAGTATCATTCATGAAATAAACTGTGAGTACAGAAGCAGCTGTGGCAAATGGTATAGGACAAATCTTTAATTTGCCGAAAGAATGAAAAGCTGGAAAGATTTCCATCCTCTTACTTCCCTGGCTTGTGTGCTTAAAGTGGATCTTTAAAAGGGAACTTAACCCATTTTGAAGTAATGATTATTCACTTTTGTGAGCACGCTCTTCTTTATAAGTTATATATTTTCCTTCTGAATTTCCTTATATCCCTTTCCATCCTTTGAACACCTTTTCTTTTTGTACTTAGATGGCTGATCGTCAAACAAGAACTTCTATAATTCTCTAAAGTGCTCATCTCATGTGACACTTCTGATATTGCTATTTTATTTTTCTATATTGCCAAATACCCAAAGCTGTTTGGGTGGTTTACAAAAGGTTTTAAAACCTGTATTTACATTTCCAAAATATTTACATACAGATCATTTAAATATAAGCAATAGAACTTCAAGAAAGGGTTAAAATACAAAGTAAACCAAAGTATTCTGTCCTTGATAAGCAGACACCATCTCTCACTTGGGTGATAGAAATTCTAATATTAGATATGTGCATGCATTAGTGAAGGTGTCTGTTATCCCACATTGCACCCGGGGCCCTTGACCGTCTTCTTTCACCCTTCTCTACAGCTATAGCTTCCTCTTGGCTCCACCCCCTCAGGCCCCCCGCTGTGGCTGGGGGTCTCCTCTACAGGCATCTCTGCGTGCCCCTTCTGTGACACGGCAGCCGCTCCTAGAGGATAAAGCTACACTGCAAAGCAGTAAGTGACCCTTAGGCAGATGGGATAATTTTTCCAGAGCGAGCCAGTTGAATCAAAGGGAAAAAAGCAAGCACTTAGCTGTTATGTAGCTTGTTTACCTTAAGATTTCTTTCTCTGAGAAGAAATATGATCAGTGACCGGGTTCAGACAACACAATGACCCGCACGCAAGGGCTGAGTGTGGGTTGTTGCTGAATGTGGCTTGTCCAAGTCCTGCTAGGTTAACAAGCCAGGTCTGGTTAGCCATGAACAACCCATGAAGAAAAATCATGGATTGTTGCTGGCTGGGGAACTGAGTTTTTCACCATGGTTTGTTATCCTGGCTGAGTTCAGACAACCTTTGAGTGTCAGTTACTGTGTTGTCTGGACCCAGTCACTGCTTCTTTATCCATGATGAGCTCTGTTAATGCCAAGCACTGCAGAGGGTTACATATAAATATTGTCATTTTTATGTAGCTTCTTTATCACTTCCCAGGATGCAAAATACTTGCCAATTCTTACTTGTTAATCACTGTCTTCTACTTCTAGACACATCAAGCCCTAAGCTCAGCTTGCGGGAAAAGTGGGAGGTGGTCAAGGTAAGAAACAGGGCCAAATACATGAAAGGTATGTGCATGGAAGGCTGCATGAAGGATATCTTTGGGTGTATGATTTTACAGTGTCCATATTGCATAGTGTGAAGATAAGTGAGAGCGGAAGATCTGAGGGTTAATTCCAGGGATGCAGGGGAGGGCTCCAATCATCCACTGCAGGTTGAGCGAGCAGCGAAGGCAATCTTTGCCGCCTCACCCACTTGACCTGCATATCTGAGTAAATGGGCTTTTTACTCCAGCAGTCCTCATGCCCTGGTCTCTCTGGTCTTCCTCCACTCCTCTCCACCCAAACATTCACCCTTGCATTTTTTTTCATGACTTCAGAGGGCAGCCAGTCCTGTTCTTTCTGTGCAGAAAAGTCAGGTCCAAATCTCTGCCTCCTCCTTCCAAATATCAGGGTGGTGTCTCCAACCTTCGAGGAAGGATTCTGTGCCCCATCCAGTAACATTCTGGGGACACAGGATAATTTCCCTATGCTGTAATTCTGTGCAAATGTATTGGAAGCAACTTCCACTGAACACCAAGACTTCTCATTACACATGCATAGCACTGCAGTGTGAAAGCAACTGAAAATATAACTAATGGTTTAAAACAAATTCAGAGCAACCTGTAGTCAGAAGAATAGACTTTTAGTTTATTTTGATGAGCTTTGGGGAACTAAGAACATTCTTGCATGCCTCTGAAAGATGCCATTCTGGAAGACCATAAGTGAACCTGTGGTGTGCCACAACTGAGAAGACCCCAAGGGATACCCAGGAGTACAGCCCCCTTAGCCAACCTTGGAGCACAATCCTACGCATGTTAGGCAGAGAAAAGCCCTGTGCTGCCCAGCCTTCCCCAGCCAACAGTGCTCTTTTCTGCCTTAGCATGGCCAGAATTGCACTCTTAAATTCTGGGACAGATGGGGTGGCAGATGCAGAAGAAGACAAGGTTTCTGATCCTTTAACGGTTGGGTCAAGGAGAGAATTTCAGCAAGTATAGGTTGTTACAGCTGCGGAAATTTCCCTTCCTATCCAATGGTGAAAGGTGCAACCGGCCACCTAGGAGAAGGGTTTGGGTCATAGAAAGAGTGTCTTCCTGGAAATAATCAACCCCTGAGCCAAGTGGAAGCTTTAAGGGTCAAAACCAGGTGAACAGGTGTCAAGAGCATTGCCTGCTTAAGGTGAGCATAGACCTCAAGGTCGTCAGTCTCTCTAACTGCACCTTCTCTCCTCCAGGGTCTCCTGAAGTACCTCGTTCCTTTGGCTATAGTGTATTTTGCAGAGTACTTCATCAACCAGGGGCTGGTGAGTGCGAAGGATGTGGAGGCCTTCTTATCAGGAGGCAGAATGAGCATCACTGATGCGGCACCCCTGTTAACCCCTTCTTTCTCTCTGTGCTCTCCTTCCCCAGTTTGAGCTGATGTACTTCCCGAAAGCACTTTTTACCCACCCTGAACAGTATCGCTGGTGAGTGTTGGGTGGGGAGCTGATAAAAGGATTCCCAAACTTGATAAATGAACCGAGAGCTGAAGGGCTCCTGGGTTTCTCTCTCTTCTGCAGGTACCAGATGCTCTACCAGTTTGGGGTCTTTGTTTCTCGTTCCTCTGCCAGCTGCATAAGGATTCGGCGCATATGGATCCTTGCTGTGTTACAGGTAGAATCCCTCCCCCACACATACACTCCCTCCAGTAAATGTTACCTTTCTGTCCACCTGCAGCATATGCCTTCCTTCCATCCCCATTAGGCTATCGTCCAAAATGCCATTTGGGTTTGCCAAACCCACTTCCATTATCATGTGAGTCCCGGAGCACCCCTGAAGCCAGGCTGCCTTGCTCTGCCTCCTGGAGGTGCATGTGCGATGCACCCCCCTCATGGTGTTCTTACAGTTCTGTGCATGTTGGCCTTCCCTCTATGGACATATGTATCATATATGACACATGCACTGCCAGGGGATAGGGCTGTGTTGCACAGACCCTCTGGCATGATAAAAGGAGTCGGTTTGGTACATCTCAACAGCTCTCCAGTGTTGTTGTCGTCGTCATCATTATTATAATATTAATTTCTATACCACCCATAGTCGCTCTCTGGATACTTAATGGCTTTTAAGTCACACATCCAGATTTCAATCCGGCCCAACTCTGCTGAGCTTCCAAGATTTGGCAGGATCAGGCACTTCAGGTTACACAGAAGCTTATGATCTTCCCGACTTCATTCAGCCCTTGTCCATGAATGCACGAAACTGTCTAACATGGAGTCAGACCGCTGTCTGCAAGAGAGGGCCTTCTTGGTGGTGGCTCCCAATCCCTGGAAATCCCTGCCAAGGAAAGCTAGGATCACCATTTCCCTGTTGTCCTTTCATGGGCAGATTTTATTCAGGCATGCCTTTGTCATATAGAGAAGCAAGAGAAGATAGGATAATTGTACAAAATGATGCAGGATGTGGAATAAGTGGATAAGGAGACTTCTTTCTCCCACTGTTATAATGCCAGAGGTTCAGGTCACCCATGAAGTTGGAAGGAGTCAATCAGAGAAAAGGAAGGATTTCTTTAAACAGCACACAGTTAAAATATGGAATTCACTTGATGGCCCCCAACACTGAAAGGTGGTTGGACGCATTCACAAGAGAATAGGGTGTCAGTGGCAGCCAGGGACCCTTCATCTGATCCAGAAAGACTCTTCTTTCTTCTTCTTCTGTCTGGATGGGGGAGGTATAGAACTGGGGTCACGCCTCCAATTAGTTTTATAGACAGGGCCATGCAAATGACTTTGTCGCCCACCTGCCACAGTAGGAGGAATCCCCTGAATTCCAGTTCTGCCTACTTTGGCAACTACTGCCTACTTTGCAAAACCTTTGGTTTTGTGCGTGCATTTGCTTGCCTCTGGGTGCAGCGTCTGCCACTGGACTAGGGCTCCTCCCAGAGCTACGCCTCTGGCTCTATATAGGATGCTACACAAATGATAAATGGTACTGCTAGGAAAGTCTATGTAGGCCTTGTGTGACATGAGTGATAAATGGACATTTAATGCATTATAAGGCAGAGGGTTAGGAGAGTTAAGCAGCATCACCTGCTAAGGTCTGTAAATCACAGGGTTTTTAAAGGTATGAGAGCAAGGGATAATATAAAAATCAGTTTCGAGGTCTTACATCTTTATACCGTGTTGTTATTTATTCCACCGTACCACCGCCTTTGCTTTGTTGTGCCAGAGCTACTTTATCTACATTTGAATTCCTGTGCGTTCGCTACATCACACTAACTTTCTTCCCTTCTCACACCAGTGCCTGAACATGCTGCTCTTTTCTTTTGATGTGACCTACCTGTTCTTACCCAGCATCTTTCTAGTTTTTGTTCTGATACTCTACGAGGGTTTGCTGGGAGGAGGTGCCTACGTGAACACCTTCCATTGTGTCAGAGAAGAGGTGAGCTTGTGAGAAAAAAACCCAGGAAACGGACAGTGTGGGGAATATATTAATGTAACAGCCAGGAGATGGGGCAAGACTTCATCTGGGTGAAGTAGCAAAGGGCACTTTGATACTCAAAGGAGAAGGGGCCAACAATATGATTTGGGGGGCTTCTTAGCAAGAAAATCAGGGGACCTTTTTAAGTAGTGAGGGAAGAAATGAAACCAATTTTTCCCCTACCCTATGGGTGAACAAAGGCCAATAAAGAGTGGTGCGGGATTAATTTCCAAAGGTTTAGCTTATCCTGGAGCCAAACTTGCTGAAATTACCTCTTGGCAACACCCTTTGAAGGTGTAGGAGTCTCTGGTCATCCTGTTCCCAACAGCTGGAGAACCCTTTGGCTTTCCAAATGTTGTTGGACTTCAATCCCTGTCATCCAGACTGGTGGGGCTGATGGAAGTTGTAATCTAACAACAGTGGCAGGATCACGGTTTTCTTCTCACCTTTTGCATATTGATGGAAATTTGGGGGGGGGGGCAGCAAAAGTAAGAAGCAGGCTCTCCTTACATTGTTTAGGAAGGTCAGTATTCTTGCTGATCAGAAATGGATGCTCCATGTTCAGAAGTGGGGGCTTGGTACTGAATGGGTGTCACTCTTGTGCTCTGCTTATGAGCCTCGTAAGATATATTAGAAATGATTGCATTCACTTAAATATAATGCTGTGGTTTATGTGTCTATTGGTGTGAAGATGCCAATCGTGTGCTGTGCACAGAACGTGGCAGTTGCCTGCGATTTTTGAGGGGGTGCCAAGTGCCAACATCCATACTGTTTCATAGAGGCCTGAGGAAACTTTTTCAGCCTGAGGACCAAACTGAAAAATGTGAAGTCTTAACGACCACATATCATGTGTGGGTGGCATCAAAGGCAAAGCGGGAAGAACTGAATGTTATTTCCTTCTTAAACTTACTCAGAAGAGCTAGCCGCTGCATGTTTACTCAGAAGGAGGCTGGCCTCCTGCCTACAAAAAATGCACCTCAGCATTTCTGCCTGCCTGCCAAATGCACAGATCAAAAACTTTGCAACAGCTAGATTTTTTCTGTGGTATGGAGGGGTTAACTGCTTTCAAATAACCTCTTAGCTCTGACTGGAGATGGTGGCTATATCAGTTTTAGCTGTCACCTATCCCTGGTATAATACTTTCTCTTTTCTCTTCAAATGCAGAGCAAGCCGGAGCACCTGGAGTTTGCTATGGGAGTTGCTTGTGTCGCTGACACATTGGGCATCTCTCTTTCAGGTGCAATTGCTATTTCTGTCCACAACTATTTTTGCCAGCTTCCTTGAAGCCTACTTTCCAGAGGGACCAATAGACACTTTGACATGCCACATCTTTGCTCCTGAGTGGTGCTTTGTCCTGTGTCAAAGTACAGTGATACTGAGGACGAAAAGAATCTTGACTTCTAGCATTTGTCCTTTTCTGACCAGTTTTGGGAATTCAACTTTTACTACTAATTTCCCTACATTGACTTGGGGAAATGCTTTATTTTAACAGAGCCTATTGCACAGACACTGAGGGGCTTGATCATAGCATCCAAAACTACAGTTGGATCATGTTAACACAGTTCTAGAAGAGGAAATGTTTTAACATTGCACCTGGACATGTCCTTCCACTGGAAAGGTGGAGCAGAGGAATATTTAGTATGACACCTCCACATCACTAGATGATAGTGAAAAAACGGAGTGTGCAGATACTGAGTACTGTTCTTAGGTGATTATGAATAGAAGGAAGGAGAGCTATTAGAATGAGATAGGCATGCGGCCCAGGAAGAGGGATGGTCAGTAATTTTGTTCTGTGATCAATTTCTGCTTCAAAACAATCAATAAACCAATCGTTGAAAGGATGATGGTGTCATCATTGGCCTATGTCAGAAAACTGTGGTTCAGGATGATGAGTTTGAGTGTGGGAGTTTGTTTCAGGGTTGCTGCCAAGGAATGCTCTGGATGGACACCTGCCAGGGGTCTGCAGCCCAGCGGGGGCCCAGCGGCAGGAGCTTCCTGGACCTGTTTGCCCTCATTCACCTGCCTGCCCCTAGAGCTCAGACAACTGTAGTGATGGAGAATGGATTTATTTATTTGCTAAAGGCATTGCTTATCCCATCCTTCACCTGGGTCTCGGGATGGTAATACACAAACAAAGCACAGCATCAGTAACATACAAAAACCCATTTTAAAGCAACATCAGATCTTAAAATACTGAGAAAATAAAAAGGTTTTGGCCTGGCGCCAAATGAATAAAGTGTTGGCATAAGGCACACCTCTCTGGAGACCATGTTTCAAAGCTGAGGTGCCACTGCAGAGAAAGCCCTGCAGATCAGCTGCAAAACTCAAGAGTTTAGGCTCCCCCTGCCCACCACCACCTTTGTAATGGGCTTCCTAATGATGTCCGCCTGGCCCTGTCACTGCTTTCATTTTAGCACCAGGCAAAAACTGTCCTCTTTTGCAGGTATTTTGAGACTGGATTTTAACACCTGACTGCAGCAACTCACTCTGCTTCTAACAGGTTTCATCCCACCTCCCCCCTGTACTTTTAACTGTTCTGTTGCCCTGTTTTTTAATGTTAGCAGCTTAAAGAGCCCATAGAGGGCTATTCAGTGGCCTACAGATTTGTAAATAAATAAATAACCATTAGCACTGCTTGTGATTGAGTGCTGATGAGAGCTGGGAGTTCAACGACCCAAGAAATACATGTTTGCTTGGGTCAGGAGATGGTACAGTGACTGTAACAGAGAACACAACTTTGCTGATGCAAGTGTCAGTCACAAGATGGCAGAGATAGGCTTACCCCAATCGGGTGTCTTCCAGATGTTTTGGATTACAACACCCATTATCCCTGACCAGTTAGCCCCAGAGGCTTAGGCTGATGGAGATCATAGCCACAAATATTTGCGAGGCACTACTTTGGAGAAAGCTGGTAAAGATTTTTTGAATTCAAAGGGAGTTATTCTCTGAGTAATACGGTACAAAGGCGCTGTTGCAAAGCCTTACGAAAACCAGTCGGACGTATTTCAACTCGTTGCATCATGAACCGCCACTGCCGCTGGGCCTGCGCTGTTCAAAGTACTCTGCAGCACCTTTTGCACTACAGCGCCCATCATCCCCTCCTTCACAACAGCGCCGAGAAGTCACTTTGCCTGGGAACATAGATATAAAAAAGAAGAGTGCCACTCAATCCGAGATTCCGTGAAGAAATACACCCTCCCTTGTAGATGCCTCTCTAACCTTTAGCAACTCTATGTCGAAGCCCACGGAAATCCGCGTTTTAGACAGGAAGTGGTCATCAGAACTGCGCCCGTTAGTATGAGGAAACCGGCGCATTCTCTTCTGGAAGGGACGCTTGGAAGCCTTTGCGCGTGCGCTGTGGCGATTGCGTGAAGGCGAAGCCTCCCTTCGTTTTCAGGCCGGGCCCGGGTGAGCGCGTGTGAAGTTGTGAGGGCTGCGGGGAGAGGGGATCAGAGGTTTGGGGGGCTGGCCTGGGGGCGGGAAATCTCTGAGAGGAAAAGCAAGACGATGGGTATGTGCCAGAAAGCCCCGGAGGAGGAGGGGGATGGGAATGGGGATGGGGGAGGTAACAGAGGAAGAAGCCAGCTGCGCTTTGGGTATCTAACTGAGGGATCTAGGAGGCAGATTCCCCTTGCTTGCCGACGTGATTTCTTAGATTAAAATTTAGGATAAATAATGGATTTTTCCAAAATATTTACTTTAAATAAAGGTTGGATATATTACGGATCAGTATCATGTAAATTGGGGTGCAAAGAGTACTGCTTCCATCAGCCCTTACCAACGTAACCAAGGGTGAGGGAGAGAGTTGGGAGTTGCAGCCCAACCACACGAGGGCCACAATTTTGTATTCTAGTGTCTAGAATCATAGAATAATAGAGTTAGAAGGGAGCCAGTCAGGCCAGCGGGTCTAATATATATACTTATATAAGGCTCATTCTTTGAATGGCAATCCTTATTTAGCCAAAATGGTACCATTCTGCTGGTGGTAATACTAATAATTTGTCATCAACCTACTTGGCATTTTATTCGTTTTTAAATAAGGGATATATGATGGTTCAGCATCCCGAGAAGCTTAGAGTTGAAAGTTCATCCAATTGGAAATAACAAAAGAAGAGAAGTAGGAGGGGGGGTGAACAGGAAAGTCATATTTAGCTGCTTCATGTTTAGTGAAGTATGAGAGTTGTATACATTGGACACTAGTGTGATGTAACGATTAAAAGTATTGGACAAGTATGGGAAAACCTTGGATCAAATTCCAGGTTCAGCTGTGAAGCTGGCTGGCTTACTTTTGAACTTGTTGATATCCTCAGCCCAACCTAGCTTTATTGTCAGATTTTGAAAAGTGGAATGGGCTGTGGAGAAGGGAGCTAAGCTGAATTCTTTGGAGCAGAAGAGTGTGATATAACTGTTTGGGTTCTGGATCTGCCGCTACACATGGAGGGGCTGTTCTCATGGACGTGAGCTAACCAGATCTTTGCATTTCCCCCACCCATCCACCAAATGTCATCCAGGTTCAGGAGTGGCAGGCAACTGACAGTCCAGAGTCGCCACCACCATGTCACGTTTCTTCACCACTGGCTCAGATAGTGAGTCAGAATCGTCAGTTTCTGGGGATGAGCTGGTAGCCAAGCCCGTTGGAGGAAATTTTGGGAAACAGTAAGTATAATCTCAATTGTGGGGGGATTGGAGAGGGAGGGATTAAAGCATGGGGAACCCCCAACTAGGTTCTCCAGATGACTACATCCCCTTTCCCCAAGCACCAGTAATGTGGTGACTTTTGTGCAGTTTTTTTTTTTTTGGCTCATTTTTAGCAAAATGCCTTTCATAAGGCTTAATTATTGGCAGCAGGAACATTTAACTAATATGCTGAAAATAATAGCAATTCTGGATCTACCACTTCTGCTTTCATCACTTACCACTACTGGAATCTGGTGCTCCAACCTTCACCAAAATTGAATTCAGCTCTTAGACTGAAAGAGGTTTCCCATTACTGGATTAAAGGCTCCTAGCTGTTGCTGTAAGAGGAGTGGGGTGTGTGTGTGTTTGTGCAGGGAGTGGAATATTGTATCCCTGTTTTAAAAGTCAGAAATGGGAATTCAGGGTTTTAGGCTTACCCTTTCTCCTCTTTGATTTAATCCACTGCTTTCATGACATATCTCAGTGGTGGAGAACCTATGGCACGTGTGCCACAGTGGGCACACAGCCCCCTCTGTTGGCACATGAGCCAAGTCACCCCAGCATTGCCCCAGCAGCCGAGCATCGAATACCAGTGCACATAGGGGCCATGCGCATGCTCGGAAAGGGATAGTGGCGCCAGGTGATGACATCACAAGTCACAACTCATTAACCGTGACTCGTCCGAGCTTTCGCATGGCCGGTCAGTGCGCTGCCAAGGAGAGAGAGAGAGAGAGATGTATCTATATTTGCTTGGACTAGCTGTGAGTTGTTTTTTCTAAACTGAAACCTCAGTTTTCATATTTTATTGTAGTGTTGGCGCTTTGCAATAAGTGGGGTTTGGGTAGCAGTTTGGGCACTCAGTCTCTAAAAAGTTCGCCATTACTGGTTTAGGGTTAGAAAAACAAGCTGTCCTGGCATGATATTGGTGGTTGGAATGTGTTTAGAACGGGCAAAAAAGATGAGCTGTGCAGAAAAAGCTACTCAGGGAAGGTTTTTTCAAAATCACCCTCTTTTCTATGGAACTTTCGCCCTCTGTTACGGTTAGGGGTATACTCCAGGGTAGGGTTAGGGTTAGAAAAACAAGCTGTCCTGGCATGATATTGGTGGTTGGAATGTGCTTAGAACAGGCAAAAAAGATGAGCTGTGCAGAAAAAGCTACTCAGGGAAGGTTTTTTCAAAATCGCCCTCTTGTCAATGTTATTTTAGCCCTAGATTAGGGTTAGGGATGTGCACCAGGGTAGGGTTAGGGTTAGAAAAACGAGGTGTCCTGGCATGATATTGATGGTTGGAATGTGTTTAGAACGGGCAAAAAAGATGAGCTGTTCAGAAACAGCTACTCAGGGAAGGTTTTTTTCAAAATCGCCCTCTTGTCAATGGTATTTTAGCCCTATATTAGGGTTAGGGGTGTGCACCAGGGCAGGGTTAGGGTTAGAAAAACAAGGTGTCCCAGCATGAGTTTGATGGTTGGAATGTGCTCAGAATGGGCAGAAATGATGAGCAGTGCAGAAATAGCTAGTCAATGAAGGTTATTTCAAAAACACCCTCTTTTCTATGGAACTTTCGCCCTCTATTACAGTTAGGGGTATACTTCAGGGTAGGGTTAGGGTTAGAAAAACTAGGTGTCCCAGCATGAGTTTGATGGTTGGAATATGTTTAGAATGGGCAGAAATGATGAACAGTGCAGAAAAAGCTAGTCAAGGAAGGCTTTTTCAAAATCGCCCTCTTGTCAATGGTATTTTAGCCCTATATTAGGGTTAGTGGTGTGAACCAGGGTAGCATTAGGGCTAGCAAAACGAGATGTCCTGACATGATTTTGATGGTTGGAATGTGTTTAGAATGGGCAGAAATGATGAGCTGCGCAGAAAATACTTGTCAAAGAAGGCTTTTTCAAAATCGCCCTCTTTTCAGTGTAAAGAGCTGGGAAAGACTCCTGCATGCAGCCCTCGAGAGCCACAGTCAGTGTCAACAATAATGGTCCAGAGGAGGCATTATCTAGCTGACATAGTGCAGGGAATCTTCCTATTTTCTGAAGACAACCATCAGAAAAATATGCATGCTCTCATCTTCTGCTCCTCTCCATCATATGCACGGTCTTTGGGGGAGGACCATGTCCGTGTCTTTAGATGGGTTTTGATTTTGCCCAGGAACTAGGCCAGGGGTAGAC